ATACTTTGCTACAATTAAAAATAGAAATTGCATAAAAGTTTTACTTAAATTTAAAATATTTTGTGAATATTTTGAGACGAAATACGAATAAAATAAGTATGAATGGGAAATGAATGATCCGTAGAAAGCCAAAAAGACCAAGCCCCCCATTAACATAACCACAAATTTCATGTGCCTGATGAAAGAAACTAAATAACGCTGGGCATATACCAGTGAAATTTAAATCCAGGCAGTGTACATTTTGTAGCACAAGGAAGAAACCTCATAGAACAAGATCTATGTGCGAAACGTGCAACGTGGGATGTGGGTTTATGCATGTACCAAAAAGACAAAACATGCTTTGAACAGTGTCACAAAAAAAAGAATTTTTTTTAAAAAAAAAAAAAAAAGTTTTTATCCTTATTTTATTGAGTTTTTTTAATCCATTTATCCAAATGTCCTTATTATATAGGTACTTATATTTTCACTGCTATAGAAAAATTACATAAATGTTTATTTTTTAATTTTTCTGGCAATTTACTTTGTAAAATAATGTAAAAAAATTATAATGTAATCCTTACATAGATTTTTTTTAAATCCGTAAATTTTGTCATTTATTGGAAACGCGTGCAGAAAACGGTTAAGTTTTTTTTTTCCTACTACATCAGTAGGTTTCAAAGTCCTAGACGTGGTGGCTTCACAGTGCGACCACCACCCACAGAACAATGGGCAAGAGTAGCTTTTTTTTAAATTCGTATATTATTTGTCTCTAGGATCATAATATTCAATTTCTAGAGTTTTTAGTTAAAAAATAATATCGTGTGCGTCAAAGGGTTAAGATTGGTTTTACACGTGTAACCAACACCCTACAAAGTGATTATTGGTTGTAACATGGCGTTATACACGATTAATTTATTATCTACATATCAAACTGAGTTACACAAAATTAAGTGGAATAATTTAGCTTTAGTAGGCCGGAACATAGAAGCGTGTGTGTGTGATTATAGCAAAGCCTCGAGGGCTATCTGCCTAAAGGGAGGGATACCTTTCGTGGAGGACTTTCTAAGGGAAACTGGCTCGTATACAAGTTACACATGGGGAAAACGACGAAAACACCCATGCAGCCAGCCTGTTCGTGGGATTCGAACCTCGGACCGAACTACCAGTGTTCAGCGACTTTACCACTCGGCCGCCGGAACATAGAAGCATTATGTGATATGCGGGGGGTTCTATGCGAGTTTTTGATCAAGAATAACCCCTAATTATTAACCTGCCTGGCCCAAGTGATGGCAGTATTATACATAGTAACAGACATGTTTAGATCCATATTTCTTTCCCTGGTGAAGAGAACTGCTACACACTTGTCCACATTAATAGATATTTACCATTTTGGAAACTAGGACTCCATTCAGTGAGCTGTTGTAGTCCTTGAATAACTGAACTCGAGGACACATTTTCAGTCATAATTTGGAATGTGTCATCAGCATACATGGCCAGTGTAGTGTCGTATGATATGTCATCTGCACAAATAAAAAATAATATTCAGCCAATCCAACTTCTTTAGGTGATGACCCCATGAATTTGATGGCATATATAATTGTTATAACAATAACAAAAAATCTATCTGTAAGATAAGAATTAATGACGTGTATGATGATGATGTACCCTGGAAATCCCAGAGTAATTTGTTGATTCTAGTGCCCTTTGGAAGATGAGTTCTGTTTCTCTTATAAAATTGATGACAAATTGAGTGTTTTCTTCTGAATCCATGCTGCTGTCAAAAATTGCAGCATTTTGTACAGGATGACAGCTTCAACAATCTTGATTAGCATAGACTGGTGTATACAGGGTTCATAAACATTTCTGCACGTGGAAATTAAGTACTTTTAAGGACCATTAATGAAAAAGTTAAAGAACCTATGAGTAAATGGGAATTGAATAAATTCAATTAAAAATATTATCTATGCCTGAACTTCACTTTTGTAACACCATCCTAAAAAAAAATAAATCCACAAGTAGGATGAATTATTATTAAACATGAATTAATAAAATTAATCAACTTTATAAAATGAATCAAGTAGCATTTACTTCACACTTATAATAAATGGACATACTGGAAAGAAGATAGTGACATTTTATGCTTTACTAACTGTTACCTATACGTTTTTTTTCCCCCTTCTTAATGTTTCATTTTTGACACATACTTATTCAGTCTACAAGTTTAGTAAATAGCAGGTAGATTTTATGTTCAAGTGGCATAGATTAAAATGAGAAGCAAGGTCATAATCAGCATGATTCATAACTAAAGACTAGATGATGTCATCCCTGCTGCTTGCCTAGAGAAAGACTTCTTGATTAGAACAAGCTCTGTCTGATGCATGAAGTCATAGCTTCATGTAGAGTTCCAGGGGTTATAACATAGTTAATATACTTTAAGGTTCCAATAAGCCTTTAAAGCACCACAGGTGATAAGTTGTTTTGTATTACTTTAACTCTCACTAGATGTGAAGAGTAAGTTTTAGATGAATTCTTACATTTTTGTGTTTTATCTTGTGACCATGGTAAGGATTAATTTTTAAAGGTAAGCAGTTACTTAAAAATAATTGAATTACATAGTTAGATATTATTAGTCATTATATATTTATTTTTTAACAAATTTGTTAGAAAAAGCCCTATTAAAATCACAATCTAATAAAATTGCAGTTGAAAATACATGTAATTTATGACCGATTCTTAAATGATATTAGGATTATTAAATAACACTCAACAGACTATTTATGAATCTCTTTAATTTGAAGACTTACCAGACATTCTGGCTAATCTCTCTTTCAACATCTTTTCTAACAATCGGAAATTCGAAAATTTGTCTCGATATGCAACTCGGTGTTCTCACTAGTTTGTGCATGCTTTATCTCAACGTGTCAACTTGTTTACAATATAGATATGAAGGTTTACTCGATCTGGTAAAAGCTAAGTAGTAAAAAAATTTCATAAATGTGAAGCAAATTGTCGCTATGTCTGAAAGCAACTACAATAAAAAGAGCTCAGAACATAAAGGGATGATCTGATGGTAACAAAATCAATTACAGCTCGTGGTGATGTAATTTAACAAGAACAGTCAAATTTAAACTAAAAGACTATACAATTTATTTTTGATTTAAGCTGGCTGAGTAACTCTATCATATAGTTTGGTTTATTAGATTACGGTAAAGCACTTGAGGTCCATCTGCCTTAAGGGAGTGATGCCTTCGTGAGACTTTTTAAGGGAAACTGGCTCGTATACGCGTTAAACATGGGGAAAACCACGAAAGCACCCTTGCAGCCAGCCCGTTCGTGGGATTCGAACCTTGGACCAAACTACCAGTGTTCAGCAATGTTACCGCTCAGCCGCTGGTGGGCCCCAACTCTATCATATGAAGAAACAGAAATGGGAAATTATAGCAAAGGCTGAAATCATAAACAACTACATAATTTACATAATAACTGTACATATCTTTGAATAATAATTTTTTTAAATGCATTGTTTCTTTTTTCAGCACGTTTCCTTTTCATTTTAGAATTTTTTGACTTAATTAAGGACTTCTGTTATTATAAGAATAACTAAATGCATTTAGAATGTATAGAAAAAGCTGCTAATTTTATTTCTTTTATTAGCAATATCAAAATTCAGAAATATAGTAAGGAATTATACAGCTGGTGGGAGAAATTTTATAATTTAGTGACACACCGAGCAACAAAATCTAGAAATGTCATAACTTTTAGGATTTAGCGCAGGTATTGGAAGCAGAACTTGGAATCTACAGGAGACTGCATTAGGTGGGAAAAATGCCTGTCCATGTGTTAAGATCAGAAGCATTTTTAATATTTTCCATGCTTGTGTCTAGTGAAAAGTAGAGAAAATAAACTGAAGATAAATGTTAAGAAAAATATTCTTGTATCAGAATTAAAACATTCAAATATTATCTTTTCATTGTTCTTCCAGACGTTCTCCAAAAGTGAGAAATTCATCGCAAAATTTCTGTAAACTACAAACATTACGTGTTAATACATGGAGACATTTTCCATTTTGTCACACATTTCTGAAATCTTCTAGAATAGTGGGTCTATAAATCCTTGCCCTTCAAATCCTTCTACTTTTTTTTTCTATAAAAACTTTCCAAGCTGCAGTATCTAAAATCCTAAAGAAAAATTATCCCTACCAGTTCTGTAATAGCAAAAAGTTAAAAATATTGTGACAAAAAAAGGGAAGCAAAGTGTAAAATTAATTTTATAGAGAAAACTGATGCATATTCTGAGACAATTACATGGGAAAAACTCTTACTTTGAAAAAAATTAATAGAAGACATTTTTAATTAATTATATAGCTAATTTTCCTTTTAGTACGAAATTTTTCATAAATTGTGCTTTATAGCATTACACCTTCTTTATTTTTCAGATTCAAAATGTTGTATAATAAGTTACCAAAATGAAATTTTACATTACGACAGCAAAAAATAAAAATGTTTTATTGTAATGTTATTTTTTAAATATAATTTCAATATGTTACCATTATTTTAATGAAATTTAATGGTACAATGTTTAAAAAAAATTGAAAAATTCCCAGACCTCAGAATTAAAAATTGTCTATAAAAACTTATTTTAAAATCGGCAAATTTAGAACCATTAAATAAAAGAATTCACATCACCAAAAGCAAAAAGTTGTTTAAAAGCTCTTCATTAAGAAAAATGAATTTTGAAATGCTTATGTTTTACTAGGAATAAATTATAACCCATTCAAAAGATAACCATATATGTCAGTGAATCGCCAAACATATTCCTCCAAAATGTTAATTCACACTCAAAATGGCAGTTATAAAAACAGGCAGAAATTTCAGATGATTAAAATTAAGGACCTTCTGCCGATCTTGGCCGAAATTCAGAATTTTTAAGGACCATACGAACAGTCTATAGTATAATTCTGTAGGACCTTTCCAAGCTTCAAGATTAGCGTCAAAGGTTAAAAAAATGCATTTTACTGTATGAAAATATAAGGCTTCAATTTTTATTTCAAACACACTTACATGTAAAATTAGAGTAATTCAAATGTTATTATTATATACATGTATAAAACGGGCAACATATTTAAGTCCTCATGTTCTTAACATGGCATAATGGAAAGCGAACATGTTGTAATAATTATAATCTTTAAATTCCAAAAGTTACAAAATATATAACAGAAAAATATCAAATAATTTCAAAGCATTGTTTTATTTAAAATCATGATATATTTTAAAGAAATATTCCAGAAATTCAACAACTGTTTAAAATCAATAAAGGTACATTCTCACAGAAATTTACACAGAAAGTGAAAACTAAGAATGAAAGGAAGCATTTTTTGATATGACCTAATGTTAAACATCATAATTAAATAATTCTCATATGTACATAAATATACCAGAAAGTTCAAAATTTTACAAAAGATTATTAAATATGAAGATAAACTGACAGCATAACACTGCTGAAATATCCCGCACTAAAAAATAAACATTCCTCTTCAAAATTGACATTTTCAATTATGGAACAAGTATTTTGCTAATAACCCTATTTTAATCTATGCTCAGTTATAAAATTTTGCAACAATGTGCAAATGATTCAAAAATTTAGAAAAACTAACATTTATTACACAAAATCAAACTTTATTAAAATTTGTCACATGGATAACTTACAGGTATTTACGCAACAAAATGCTTTTATATCTAAATGTCTAATTATTTTGTTCTATTGAGTTCATCTTTTTCTGCTTTTGTAACAATCCAAAAAGTATAAATTTAAAAAACAAGCAAAATGATTTTCAGATTTATTACAAATCGGCCTAATTTGGAATGTACTCCACATTGCAGGCATAGACTAAGGCGATTTTAGAAACCATGAACTTTAAGTTGTTCTGGCTTGGCAATGCCAACTTTTGTCAAAAACTGACATATGTTATTTCTTTGATCACCTTGAAGTTGAATCACTTCACCATACTCTGGATGTTCCACAACTGTACCGTTACATGCAAATTCCTAAGAAACAGAAAAAGAATAATTTAGGTACAAAGAGGGGAAGAAAAAAAACTCTTATAGCAAGAAAAATATTATAGGAACAAAACTTTATCATATATTAGACTAATGCTTTATTTCAGGACAAAGAGGGGAAAAAAAAAAACTCTTATAGCAAGAAAAATATTATAGGAACAAAACTTTATCATATATTAGACTGATGCTTTATTTCAGGACACTTTTTGGAAAAAAGGTGGTATATACACAAATGCATATCTAAATATAATCAGCATTCAAACCATATTCCAACCTTATAATTATAGTTAATGCTTTTGGTTTTGACATACAGATGACAAGTAAACACGTTTCACTTCCAATAGATTATACAAGGGTTACTGTACAGACTGCCTAACAAATGTGCATCACATACAGGCAAATGTCATTGCTAATAAGATGATGACTTGAATATGGTCTGGCTAGTTCCAAACTAGATACGAGGATCACCGAAATTTTCGAGATATACATAATACATAAAAGTTATACAACAGAAGTCCAGAAATCCGCAAAGCTTGGGACCAAAGGTTGTTCGGATTTTGCGGATTTCAGGACAGAGATAATATTCAAATATTCAGACTAAAAGTGCAAAATAAATAAGGCGCATTAGATACATTTAATTAAATTATTGCTATAACTTATTATATGCATTAAATTATTATTACATATATAAATTTATTATGTTATTCATTGTATTATGTATATACAGCATTGATGTTTGCCAATTTCGTCTCATGCAGAGATTTCCAGTTTCGGATTCCGGTGTTAGAATCACTGTTGCTGTACAATTTCAACAGCTTTTCTATATTTTTCCGCATATCATACACAATCGTATCGCAATTCCATGCGATTCTCCTATAAACCGAGGAGTAGCACCTGTCTCCATCTTTTGCAGAATTTGCACTTTTTGCATTACCGTCAATGCAACGTGTTCACGTTTTTCAACGTTGCAAGCAGTAAAATCACGAGTGCATTTCTTATCTGTAAATGTATTAAAAAGGGCTTGAAATTTAAAATGTTCTTTAATTTATCCTACAAAATATTAATGGATCAAAAAAAAAGGCAGCACCTAAATAAATCTCGTGAAATAACAAAAGCTCAGAAAATATAACGTGAATCGTGAACTTGAAAGAAGAGTTGAGTGAATCGTCTGTTTTTTTACCTCGATGCAGATTAGAGGGGAAAAACATATCATGATGTCAATAATTTGGTATTTCCATTATGACTCATTATTATTTGGTAATTATGACGTCATTATTCGGTAAGTATTTTTTCTTCGATATTTCATACTCAATGTTGCGGTTTCCAGAACCTATAAACTGAATGTTTAGATTTTGAGACGTAATGCGGATTTCAGGTATGTTCAAATTAGTCTCCTCAGCATCAATGCACTTTTGTAGGTGAATTTTTCAAAGATCAAATGCTTCAAGCCATTCATTTCCTCTAATTGATGAAAAAAATGCATTTATATTCCTTATCAATCTCACTGACGACCACCAAGTTCTTATTTTTAGATTAAAAAATAACAAAGTCACACAACTAGATTGGGTGAATACGATGGATGTTCTATCGCTTCGATTTTTTTTTGTTCAAGAACATCAACTGTCAATCTTGCCGAATGAGAAGATGCACTGCTACGGTGGAACATGAAGGACACTTAGTGGTATACAGCTGTGACTTGACTTCCCTCCTTCTAGCTTGATGACGTTGACCAGTCCTGTACTTCTGATGAAAATAGCATACATTACTGTTTTTCTTTTTTCTTTTTCTTTTTTGTCTTTTTCACCCTTGTGGGCATGGGATCGTATTTCATCACCAGTTACAATGCGCCAGTACCAAGCGCCTACCATCTACAGTTTAAAATTTTTTTTTTTTTTAAAACACTGATTCTGACACGTTCCTCTTTTTGGTGCCGAGTTAAATTAGGGAAGGGGGATTCAACGGCAAATGAATTTTTTCATATGTATAAATAAATGTATTTATGGCGACGAAACTAATGTTTTCTTCAGCATTATTTGGTAGATGCAGCGATTATCAATGATTAACATTTTCCATAAGGCACACATATCTTGGATTACTGCTGACAACTGCTTTCCTGTGTGTTATTCATCCTGAAGAGAGTTGCAACCTATGTAAAATTCTATAAACCATCTGAATAAAAAAGCACGAGATGGCTCTTAATTTACAAATGCTAATTGTAGATATTGAAAGCATTCTTCTTGATTTAACCTCACTTTAAAACCACAAAAAAACATAGCAGTATAATGTCTCGCATCAGCTCCATTTTCCCTTTGGCCTAAAATGTATGCTACGCTATTTTCACATCAAATGACTAGTTTATGATCCAGTTACTAATCGCACTTTGATGTGGAGAATTCTAATTTTCTGATTCACATCAAACAACTTGGCAACTACCCAAGAAGACAATGATATAGCAATTTTGTAATTCCTGTAGTATAGAGAAAGATCCAGAAATTACACTTTCATGAGGACAATTAAAATTGTTATGATCCCTTATGTTTTTTTTCTTTCTTTTTTCTCCCCCCTTTTTTTTGCTGTTATTCATTCATTACCATTAGCATTTTCAAAAATGCAAATTCCTTCTGGCACACATTATTACAATAGATGAAAAATAACACCTGTCATAAATTTGTTTGAAGTCTATAACTGTGAATCCCTTGCATAAAAAGATGTTTAAAAATACATACAATCCCTTGCACAATTATAAAATTAAAAATTACATCTATTTGGACAATCCATAATTCAACAAATGGAAAATCACAATAATATAGATGACTAAAATAGTCACAATCACACTACACAGTATGTTCTGGATACAATGTAAACACTAGTCACAATCACACTACACAGTATGTTCTGGATACAATCTATTACTAGCAACATTTTGATACAATATTATCCTTCTGTACCATAATACAAGTCTTGTATTTAAAAAAAAAAAAATAATAAAAAAAAAAAATAAAAATAAAAGCAACAAATACAGTACAAAGTCCGAAATGTGGAATGATCTAAAATCCAGACCTCAAAGCCACAAACATTTTTTTAATTAATGTTGTACGCATGCACATTTGATTTTTCCTTTCATAATAAAACATGTGGAGATTTTCATTTAAAAATTCTGATTCTTAATTTTAATTAGGCACTAAATAAAATACCTCGTTACGAAAAACAATCATGTAAGCATAAATTTGCGAGATTAATAATTTGGCTTTCTATCTGAGTATCTACTTGGCATACATCTCAAATCGAAACATTCACCTATTTATATCCCTGATGGCGACTTGGCGAGTCCCAGCAAACCAATTTTTCAGCTAACGTCAAGTCCCGTCGTGGCATTTTGGCAGGGAAGACAACACAAGCCTACAGTCACTGACTAGTCTTAAGAAACCTTGGTATTTCGGGGTCAAGATGTTGAGGTCAAGAAGGAGAAATAAAATGCTCACCATTTAAAGCTTTCGCACTAAAAATCATTGCAAAAGGGTGGGGAAATGATAGCTTTCTCGTGTAAACTTTAATCATGGTTGACAGACGGGAATTCCTTTCAGGTGGAGCCGGAGAATCTATTATTCATTTCCTCGAAAATCGGTGAAGCAGCAAGACCAATAACCTCGCTGGCTGGTGGCTCTGTTTTAAGAAAGGTCAAAGAAAATGGTATGCGTGTTCACCTCCCACTGGTTTTGCTCTTGCCATGCACTTTAAGGAATTCCAGACCTGATAAAGCTTTCTCCTGGGAAGTGCAGCTACAGATCCTCCCATACGTCACAGACCACCTGTACATCCGCTGTACGCGGCCGGCTAGTGGCTTCCGTTTACTCGCTCTCACTTTTTTTTTTTTTTTTCCCCGATTAAACGGAATTTTGGTCCAAATAAGCGAATAATATTAGGCTTACATACATAGGATTTGTTTCAGTTCTTTTACGATTCGGTGTGATTATCCGATGGCCCAATTAACCGTATTTGATTGCACATGATTTTTACTGTAATGATTCATAAGAAGGATATACGGAAACATTCAGAATTTATTTTCACAGAAAACATTTGTTAATCTTGGATAGATGACAGAAAAAAGATCACAAGAAAAATAATTGAGAATCTTCATATATTTTTACTCCTTAAAAAAGTTGCTACAAAACATAGCAAATTCAATCTAGCAGTGATAATTTTTCTGTTATTCCATTCTATAATTTCATATTAAAATTCGAATGTACTTAATATAATATACTATTTCTGCCCCACTGTAACTACTTTTAGCTTTTTTAAATGCATAAATAAATTTTATTTCATTTTTTTTAATTAACACAGAATGCAAGACTGTAAAACTAGACTCGAACCACAGCTGGCAAGTTTCTCTGACCCAAAGAAATCGAAGATACCTGGTTGGGAGGGAGGCATATAATTATTTTATTCAGAGTATCTCAACTGCATCGCATTCTCCTCATTCTCATGCAATCCATGAAGGTTATTCTCTGCTCAGAACTCTTATAGCTTTGACAGAAATAGTTTAACCCTGCTTTGCCATCCAAACTAAAAGTAAATCTAGGGAAGTGCCTCAGCATTCAGTTTCAGCTGATTTACTTTTGTACTCTTGTCTGACCGAGAAAAAAATTTTAGTGCAGTTCTTTTCAATAAATTTTACATTTTCCCCACAGATGTGAAGATTTAACATTAAACAAATGAAACCAAGGTACACCTGTTACATTTTCAAGACAATGATTACTACTTAAATAAACAAATTATTAAAGAAAAGCTTGGCACTAAATACTTCTATACAACACAAGCAGAAAGCATAAAACTGACAAGCTGAAACTCATTTCTCTGAAATCTGAGCGAGGAAAATTGATAAATTATGATTACATGAAGTGCCAAAAAACAGGAATATATTCATATAATCTTTTTGAAGAAACTCCAATAACTATTCAAGGAGACAGGAAAAGCTAATTAATTCTTCCCACAAATTAATTCTAATACTTAGAACTATTCAAATGGAATTAACTTGCCTACCTTTTTACATGCTTTTACAATCTTCTTTTTATCGTAATCATCTGAAATTCCTTGAACTGTTGTAAGTGTTTTGCGACCGTTGCGCTGCTGGATTCTAACGTGGATTAATTTATCCTGACCACCTTGCTCATCAGCCCGAATGGCATCAGCAAACGGATCTGTTACATATAAAGAATAAAAAAAAGTTACTATGCACATTCACTTACTTTTAAAATAATTCAAAATTATTTTAAAAGTATTAACAGACTTTTATTAATACAACATGTATGAATATTCAAAGACTGCTATTTATAGTTCATAGCCAGCTCTAATTGGAAAGATGCTCATTTGTTGAAATGGTATTTCTCTATTTTAAATACAGTGAAAAATCGTATTTTTCCGGTCAGAGAGTTTTGTCCTTTTCTATTAAAACGAAACTGATGGGACTGACATATTTTTTCATGCTAAAGGATATTGGGGGAAAAAAATAAAACATATATTCAACAAAATTTAGTCTATAAGAGTACGAACAAATATGTATATATGCATGCACTTAATAAAAATCAATGAAACAAAAACATCTACAAGAACTTAATAAAAATACAATATTTTCAAGTTTTTTTGAAAAACAAAACATTTATTGAGTTTTGGGAAAATAATCTGATATTTTTCTTAGCATTGTCTTTTTTGGCATCAAAATTGTTCAATGTTGTCCATTTTGTTATTCATTTCACCATCTAAATAACTGTGCACACTTTTCATGATGTTCCTTATTTCGGATGATGTGGGAACAGGAGCTGCATTATTCATTTCATTTTCGTCGTCAGAATCTGCATCAATGATCTTTTTTTTAGCTTTGAACAAACTCCAGGATGTCTTTGTCTGCTATAATTAGGGCTGTAGACACATTATCATCAACTACTGCAACAAATTCTTTCGATAATACAGTAGGACAGTCCAATAATACAGAAACTTTCTCAAACACTTCATTAAGTGTCTGCTCAGTTTTAATACCCTCCTTCTCCATTTCTTTTGACACCAAAGAATCTGATACTTTTGAGAATCGTGCATGACGAAAACAATTTTCATTTGTCCCTGCAGTCACTGAATTCCATGCAGAATGCAACATATGAAGAGATAAGATACATGTGAAAGTAGCTTAGGTAAACAAAATTGGCTCGTGTAGCAGGTTATTTCTGAGGATAATTCAAAGCCAAGTTAGCCTCCTTTCTACAAAACGTGAAAACATCTTTCATTTCACATCCGTCTTAACCCATTAACCGCCAAAACTACAAGGAATGATTCTTTTCTCGTGAAAATAACAAATATTGAATTAAACATTTATAACATAAATTTACATTGAAAATAAAAAAAAAAAAAAAAGAGCTCTTACCTGTGGAAAAAGGAGAGTGTTGTGTTCGTGTAATGTCGGCGGAATAAGACTATGGATGTTTAGTGAATAGGAGAATATTTTCAAAGAAAAGCATCATTCATTATAGAAAATTACGTTTGAACAACCAACGAGATGAAATTATGCTTCATTGATAAGTCGGTAGCGAAATAGCGATGCAGGCATCCATTCAGTTATGTTTAGCAATTTTTATATAAATTATAATAATCATCTGAAATAGTTATTTACTCTTATGCTTCCATTCAGTCATGTTTAGCCTTTTTCATATAAATATAATAATAAAAAAGTAGTTATATGAAATTGACCCTTTCATCTAAATTAAAACATCAATCTTAAATAGTTATTTACTATTATACTTCCTTTCTTGCTGCAATTATTTTTGGCAGCATTGGCATCAACAATAGTTTGGCGATTTTTTACGGCCCTCGAAACCGAATAGTACCAAATTTACTTCTTACGTGACATCATTCCATTCTTCTTCATCACTAGCTTCTACAATTATTTTCTGGGGGAACAGCAATATCAGTTTCATTCTGATCATTATTAACTGTTTCTTCATCAAAAAATCTTTGAAGGGCTTCTTCTAATGCAAGATACCTCATCCTAGGCATTTTTAAAAGCAGCCAAAACATGAAACAGAACATACAAAGAATGAGTAAAATAATAATCTTCATTATATTCCCTAGACAAAATCATCTTGTAGTTACAGTTATATACACATTTATTTTGGCTGTTGCGTCTACGCATCACTAGCGGCTAATGGTTAAGTCTCCACAGCGAGGGCAGTGTTTTCCATATTTTGTTCATTTCCATAGAGAGGATATCTTTTCGTGTTAAGAGAAACAAAATGCATGAAAAGGTGCTACTTTGGTAGACGGTTGCACAGACTTTGGAAATTTTTTTTTGGCGGGTAATACGACTTATGGTAAACCCATTGCTGGATAAGTTATTTATGGTAACCGATACTTTGTTGTCATTTTATTTTTAAAATAATGTGTTTTATTATGCACAAATTCCATGCTTTAAATATTATTTATGACTTCTAAATATTAAAAATAAGTTAAATTTTGAATTTTTATTTGAAATTAAAATTTTGTTTATAATATTTTATACAATTTTATGTTGTGGATGATGTAATCAATAACATCACCTTACTTAAAAAATAATTGGTTTTATTAATATCTATAAATTTAATCTGTTTTAAGCATTATTTATGGCTGTTAAATATTAAAATACAATTTAATTTTGCATTTGTTTTAAAAATGATTTTATTATGAATGATTATCTAAATAATTTTAATTCTATGCGTGATGTAATCAGCTCCCTGATTGGTTACTGAATATTTATGCATTACTGTGCCATTTTAAAATTTTATTATTCATCTCTTCGAATTCCTCAGATTTCAAATGGAATGGATATGTCTGTTTCGAAGACGAATGTTGTTATTGGTAATTACCGGATAAACGAAAAAAATTTGTCTTAATTCCAGTTAACACAGAAAACAATGTATTTCTTACACCAGCAGTGGTTTAATTTTGATGACCATGGTGCATCAAACTATTCTGTCATCTTAGATAATCAATAACATTTTTATTTCAATTTAATCATCTATTTATGTCACACCTGCCATCCTCTGAAAGGCTATTGTTAGAAAAGCATTAACAATATATTGTTAAAATTTTACGCCATAAAAATTGATTTATTCTCATAATTTTACATGACAATAACCAATAATAAAAACAAAAATATTACTTATTTGAAATGCACATGGACATTTTTGCGGCCTATGGAAACAAATTATTTTAGAGGTCGGAAACCTCATGGTTCTTAGAGCCGTTAATAATTAAGAACACAACGCGAACAGCTGTGTTACAAATTAGCATTCACCCCTCTCGCTGTATTTTCTTCCTTTCATCCCGAACCGAGAACCGGCATCTATCTACGAAAATATTTCTATCTGTTCGTTGTTAAAAAATTCAGAAAAAATAATAAATAAGAGAAGAATAACATAAATCTGCAAATGCGAACAATGACAGTGATAATTCAACAAAATGAACGCAAGAGGAATGGTTGCAAACTTCGAACAAGGGAATAGGATAAATCCGCTGGGTTACCAGGTTTGAACTATTATCGCCAAAGTTGGCGATGTTTACATTTACCAGGTTCTCTGCGGAATTGCTTCCCAAGAAGTATTTAAAAATGAAATTTATCAGTACGCTTCTCAAAATAACGTAAAAATTAACATTTTGCACAAAAGAATAAAATTTTGGCCCATGTTCATAACACTCTGTATATTAATATTTTTTTGCTTTGAAAAGTTATGAAATGTTTTTATTACATCTACCAACGAATGAGGTAAGGAGAAACTTTTCTATGAACTAAGCTCGTTATTCCACCACTGAAAGTTGAAATATGTTATATGTTTTGCTAGAACCAATGTCCTAGGCAGCTATTTGGGATATTTTAAACTTGAGATGAAAATGCTCTGCTTGAAGCTTTGTCTCTCCTAGGTTTTTCCCAAGGAAATGTTTTTTGCACAATCAATCAGATATACCAAAAGTTCCAGGATATTTTTTCTGCATGAAATACTTCACATGAAACTGCCAGAATCACAAATTACCCTATTTATTACATTAATATTACATTACAATAACTCATTTAGTGGATAATTTATTTATCAAAGATATAATACTTTTCCAATATGTTTACATTCAAAGCTTAACAGATGTCTTATTATAAGGTCCAAAAATTACACTTTAGTGGGAAAAACGAAAGAAAAAATACCTACAGTATGGAAATTTAAGATATTTCACAGAGAAAAATTTATCAGAATCAGAAAAATAAAAAACATTAATGAGAACAATATGGACACTCCAAATTTAGAGAACCCATAATTTACGTGTCACATCTCCAAATTATGCAAATTAACAAAAATATGTTACTTAATTTTGTATGACTTAAAAAAAAACTGATTTTAAAAGAGTATGTATGATTTCTTAATTTTAAAAAGAGAGCTAGATATATGTGTAGGTGTAATTATAATATAAATCCTGAAATGAACTATAGTAAAAGGTAGCTGGTACTGTATCTTGTACAGTTTTCCCTTATTATCAATAATTCAAAAATATATTATACCGACAAGTTTTAAATGCCAGTTCTAAATTTTTATACTGAACCTGTGGTGGAATGTTGTTTGTTACATTTCCTTTAATTTAAAACGTAATTCTTAACTTAAAGACAGACTGTTGAGACAGTAAGATACTCTAAGACTAAGATACAACAGGCAGGTATGCAATTTTTAAACCCCCATCATAAATCATAAATTGATATTTTCTAGACTGCAGAACACAAATCGAAGCCTTTTTATCACATTCGTACGACTGAACTTTCACTAGAAAATATAAATATGAATTCTTTCAAAAAATAAAAGAATTCATCAGTTTCAATTTGAAGTTTCGAATACTATTCATACCTTACAAAAATCTATCAGCAATCGAATCTATAAATTAAATCACAATGCTTTCTGTGAAAATTTTAATCGCAATATAGCACATGATAAATGAATATGGTGAAAAACACGAAAGTCCCATGCTATCAAGCACATTCTAATACGTAAAATTTAAATAAACTGACTAGAAATTATAAAACACAATTCCCAAATGAAATTTTAAACTAAAAGCTATTTAAGAACTTAAATGAAATATCAAAAACAGTTTTTTCATTTAATGTGAATCAGAAGCTTTGGTCACAGAGATTACGTATTACACATTTAAGGTACATTTGCAAAAAGTTTTAAATTTGCAAATCTATTTTTACAATTTCTTACATTAAATGCTTCAAAATTTTGAAAAATCTAAGATGGCAGATTTCCATTTCAGCTCTAAAAGTCATGAGGAAGAAGGGTTACAGTATTGCGCAGTTAACTTGCGAGGACAGGGCCATGACCTACATTGAACTCTCTAACGACTTGAGCAAGTTAGTCAAGACTTAATTTTCATTGTTCAATATAGCTTCAATTACAACATTTTACAATTAAAAAAAAAAATAACATGTAAAAATCGAGCATATAAGTAACAGAAAATTATATGATATTCAAGGGCATTTTTACACTTACCAAAAGTGTTTAAATTCTGGATACCGGTAGACATAGATTTTCTGATGTCCTGCACAAACTTGAAGATTTTATCGGCTTTTGAAAAGACCAGTTCTTTTATTTTTCTCCAAAAAACAGAAAAATGAGATGACTACACAAAACGGTAACGTTAAACACAGGCTTAGGAGCAAAAACGAAGTGGAAAACGGTTGCCTTGTGTAATAGAAAGAACAATGCTACTGCGCACTTCTACAGCGCAAAAATGGAGGGTACGGTTAAAGTGTTTACTCAACTGCTAAAACTTTTTTTAGGGGCGAATGAGATACATTCCGCAAGAGAAGAAGAGGAAAAGTGGTCCCGTGATCTAGTGACAACAATCTCCGCACGTGCGCTGTTTACGGTGAAGTCTATAGCAGATGTACCACTAAAATTAATTGATTTTTCTAATTTAGAAATTTACAGCTATTGTGAAAAATTAAAAAGTACTCTTGGAAGTGATTTCTCTTTTCTTGATGTCAATAAAAAGGGCCTTCTCTTGTTCAAGGAAAAGCATGTGAATAATATTTGTTTTCAAGTAATGTCAGATAGTAGGGTATTTATAGTAAGCTGCGTTAAGGCAGAAATAAAGAAAACAGTTAATTATAAAACGTCTGTGCAAATTTCTGCAGAAAATGAGGTAAGATTCATAAATTTTCTTTTATGCATAATACCTACCAATATTCATGTTTTACTTTCCTAGGAATATTAAGTGTATATCAATAGTTGAAAAATATTCCCGAGACCTTGAATAATGTTTTCCAAACTTTAAAATGCAAACATAATCATGTAAATATTTGTTAATAGTTTATGCATAGTTGTTCTAAATTATTGAAATAGTTGAATTCACGCAAGATCTGCTTATTTGCAAAAACATAAACACCAAGCTAATTTTCTCTTATTAATTGAGTGCCATAGAGAACATATTATACCATTGAATTTTTATTAATTTCGTTACGTTGTGTTTTAATAATGTGGCTGTTAGAATCTAGTTTTAATCAATACGCATAAATGTAGTATTTTTTTATCGCTTTCTACTATAAAATAAAGAAATTATCTATGATAAAAAATTATTAATTTCACAGCTAGAATTACAGCGAACTCAGTTGTGCAAATCAATACAATCTTTCTTTTTGACATTTTTACTGTAATATAAAAAATAAATGTTAATATGAAGTTCATGCTATCTATAGATTTAGAATCAGGTTATGAACAATTAAATTTCAAGGGGTACAAAATTATGTATTAATTTTGAACTGTGTATCATATTAGTATCACTACCGTCACATAATTTTAGGGCAACTGTATTTATAATGTTCCAGACATTTTAGTCTAACATTTTTGAAAACCATCTTGTGCTTGTCAGGCTGATAAAATTGTGACTTAAAATTATAATAGTAATTACATTATTATTGTAGAACAACATACATGAGCATTATTTTATGTATTTCCTCTTGCAGTATACAGAATTATTATTGCAAATGATTCATAAGATTTCAAAAAAGTACTGAAAATAATTTTAAAAATTATAATTATTAAAAAAAACTATTAAGTTAATTAATACTATTTGAAATCAAGTAGAAATATTTCATATTTTACTGATAAAACTATAAATGTTCAATGTGTGTTGTTCTGGTTTTATGATGTACATAGAAATGAGTATCCCAATCTTCCCAACATGTATTGTAACTTTTTCGACACTGTTTCTTTAGAAATGCTTGGCCATCTAAAGTTGTTGCCTTTACATAGGCAAGTATTATTCTTAAATTGTCTATACCATCTCATATTCTGGTGGCTTTTTGGAATATACAGTTGCATTGTGGTGCTTTGAAATAATTTTGCATAGTAACAAAAATATAAATGTTGCATATTTCCAAAACACAAAATACTTCAACATTTTCATAAATGGTCACTTATTGGCTGCATGAGATGAACACAAGAATGCCTCTATATGTAAACTTAAATATTTAACATATTTAAGTTTACATATATGAATGTGTGTGTGATTCATAACTTAAAAATTATTGGACTTTGAAACCCACTGAATAAATTGTAACAACTTTGCATAGTTGGTCCCAGAATTTCATTAATGTTCATATTTTTTATTATAGATTCAGACTGCTATTTGTGAGTGCCCTGGTGGATCTAATCCTGCAAGTTGCAAGCATGTTTTTGCATTGCTTTATGCATTAGGTTGATTATAGTCAAAAAAAAAATTATATGAAGCCCCAACTGAACAGCTACAAAAAATGGCATCAACCAAGGCCAAAACTCTTATCACCAAAAAAGAGTTCAGATATATTTAAGCCACATGCTTCCAATTATTCAACCACGAATTCTGTTAACTTTTCAGCACTTTTTGGAGAAAAACTGTAATTTCCCAATATTCTCTGTACTGGAATGTACAGACCATCTATTTCAAGTCGGAACAATTCCCCTACCTGCATTGGTATGTACCAGGATAAATATTGAAATGCCCGATTTCTTAAATATAGAAGAGGTGCTTTACTTTCATCAAAACATAAAATGTAGCCTAGAAGAAGCATGGGAGATAGAGCTTAAAACTACAGAACAGAGTGAGAGCAATTTGTGGAAGAACCACCGTCAGATAAGACTAACAGCTTCTGCCTTTCATAGTATTGCTCACAGGATGGCAGACTTTGATACACTGGCAGCAAATATATACAGAAATCATGAAAAAGACCTCAGCAAATTGCCAGCAGTCTCATTTGGTTCCAGACATGAAAGTGTTATTAGAAATTTTATCAGGAGCCAAAATGAATCTTATATTTTGAGAAAAGTTGGGGGTTGTTACCAACCCACGTATTCCATTTTTGTGTGCATCACCTGATGGCTTACTTTTTAACAAAGAAAATGTTCGGCTTGTCGAAATAAAATGCTGTTACAATCCTGAAAATGTTGAGCTGAATCAGCTTGCCAAAAGACCAAATTTTTGTTTATACAATGTAGATGGAATTTGGAAGCTTAAAACAACTCATGCATACTTTTATCAGATTCAAGGGCAATTAGCGATAAGTAATTTAACAGAATGCCAGTTTACTTTTTATTACAAATATCCAAATTATATTCATACACAGATTATACATTTTGATCCTGTATTTTGGAATAATTTGAAACAACAACTTAAAAATTTTTATTTTAATCATTACATTAAGTTCTGTTTAAGATGTTAAATTTTATCTTGGCAGTATATCTGAAATCTCATATATACATTGTGAGCAATATACTATTATTGACATGTTCTAGCTGTAAAAAGAATTATATAAATATGTAACTTGCCTTTATGTATAAAAGCAGGCAACAATGAGCTGTTGGTAACAGTGATACCCCCACAGTATAGTGGATAATAGAGAATTTGTTCTCGGGGACCTGCATACCATTTTACATTAAGGCTGTAATTACTTTAAATAATCATCAATAATTGATCATTCTTTCATCAAGCCTTTGGTGGACTTAACTCATTTAAGGTATAATTATGTATTGGGATCAGTATGAAATCAATATTTCCTTAGCATGTTTGATGTGACTGAAAACTAACTAAATTTCTTACAACTTTAGCTCTTTGATTTAAATCATTGGAAAAAGGAATTTGACCATTTCTTAAAATCTGATGTGATACTTAACAAATCTTACTAATAAAATAATTCAGTTAAAATAGATCTATAAGGTGCACAGACTGATATTGTTTTCTATATGAAAGAGTTTAAAATAAATCAAATTACACAATGGCCAATACAGTACAAAGTCCGAAATCTGGACTCGTCGGGACCTTGGCGATTCTGGATTTGGGATTTTTCCGGATATCAGATCATCAATTTAAATCTGGTGAGACGGCATGCAGAAATTATACAATTAAAAATATGAATTCATAATTTATGAAATAAAGAACAATTATGGTTAAACAAAAGGGTATCAAAATTTACAAAAAAAAAGCTTAATATTTATTTGTTTACTCTATTAAGGCTTTATCTAGGGGTGGCGCTAGATACCGCCTGGTGCAGTCTGTACGGGTCCTAAATTCTGCTACAAAGCACCTATTTAAGTTATAAATTTTCACCGTGCCTAAACTTTAGATCCCAGGTGCTTTCCCTAAATCATAAAAAACTTCTCATCCCTTAATTTTGCCACTTGGTGCTTCCCCAAATTCCAAAAATTTTGTCTTCCCTAAATTCTGCTGCCGCTTCTGGGTTTATGGTGAGTAACATATCAGTTATTCTTAATTAATATAGCACTAAATGTAATCCTTTGGCCTAAGAGTTTCATTAACAAAATCTATTTTTAGCATATGAAAAGAAATTTTTGTTAAATTTTTCTTTGTCAACATTTCTTAAAGCATTTAAAAATCTATAATCATCACCAAGCATAATGTTAGCATAAAAGGTTGCCATACTCTTGTTATTCAATTACTAATATATATGAAAAGTTTAGACATCACTGCATGAGTTATTACTGAAGCTGCCATGTATTGATAAACATGCGGTGATGAAAGCAAAATATAATGAATAATGACTCGCCAGATCGCTGTTGGTGATATAAAACAGGTGAATGTTTGATTTGAGATGTATGCTAAGCAGATACTCAACTAAGGATCCAAATTATTAATCTCACAAATTTATGCTTACATGATTGTTTTTCCATGAGGTATTTTTTTAGTGCCTAAGTGAAATTAACAATCGGAATTTTTAAGTGAAAATCTCCACGTTTTATTACGGAAGGAAAAATCAAATGCGTATGCGTAAAGTATACCCCCCCCCCAAAAAAAAATGTTCGTGGCTTTAAGGTCCGGATTTCGGACTTTGTATTATACTTGAACCGAGAAAGTGTAAGTAATGACCATACTTTTTACTATTGCCATCGCACATACATAGTTTGCTACTTGCCACTGACATAGAAGACTCTGCTTGGTCTTCTGCTGCCATAGCCCATTAAAACCAAATTTCCTACCAGACATGTCTATTATACATCCCACATTGATTTCTGCAGTTATTTCATGCAGTGTTGTTTCAGTCATTAAGTGCAGGTGATTGGCCACTGTGTCCATGATGGGAGGTTATACCTGAACTTACGTATTCCCGGCACGTTCTTGTTACCTCTCTATGTTGAATTCCCTAATTTCCAAAATGGAATGTCCCATGCATCTAGCTCCAACTACCATTGCATGCTTAGAGTCTGTTA